CATGAGCCTAAGCCCATACAAGCCATGGGCGCACTCTAGGGTCGCCGTGCTATGGAGTATTCCCATGGCCCACAGACCCAGGGAGGTGAAGGGGCCTATGCCATAAAGGTAAGTCAGTACGATTTGCAAAGGTGGCGGGCGGAGGCATTTATACTGTCAGCGCGCCCGCACGGACCATCTCTTGTTTGCACAGCTTTGACCCATGCATCCAAGGCCAAATTGGGATTTGTCTTTCCCGTCTCACCAGTCGTTTCGCGCGCTTCAAGGCTTCAGGCTTTGGCTGAAGGAGGACGCGTGCCTCTGCATGACATCATGTCTCTTCCAGCTTGCCTCTGGTCCCGAATTTCCCTTGAATTTCCGCGTCATCCTGCAGCTGATCATAAGCGTCAACTTCTCACGGTTACAACACGGTCAACTCTCGGATCCTTCGAAGATTCTACAAGGCTCAGACCTCGCCTTTGGCTGTCCCTGGAGTCACTGTACTTCCTACCCACCACTATTTTCTCAATTTACTGGAATAGCAGCCCCCTGAAGCTTCAGACCAACTTCAAACCTATGAACGGCGAGACGAGCCCTGCTCCCCCCGGACTGGCGGGAGACTGCTCGTTCCGGGAAGTGGATCTGGAATGAGATATGACATTATATACAGCAAATATAAACATTGAAAAAACTACACCTCCTCAGTGAGGGGGATGTGCTTGGAGCGCACGACGTCCATGTCTATTCCTCCTGTGTTCTCAACATGACTGCCAAGTTGGAGTGTCTTGACTCCACGGCGCTGGCTGGTGAAGGTACTCGCGGTATGTTCGGACCTCTTGCTGGGTCCTGCCCACTGTACACTCCCCTGAGTAATGTCGATTGAAGATTATTCCCAGACACGAAACGTCGCCCAATTTATTGAAGCTTGTATGTATCCGGTCAAAGCGCATATATATTCCAAGAGCACCAAGGTTAGGGTTGGCTGGGCGGAAGATCGAAAAAAAAAAAGTGGCCTACCCAGCCGAGTGGCCGTGGTAGGACTGGAAAATATTGAGACGGTGCATGAGCCTAAGCCCATACAAGCCATAGGCGCACTCTGTATGGACAGGGTCGCCGTGCTATGGAGTATTCCCATGGCCCACAGACCCAGGGACTTGAAGGGGCCTATGCCATCAAGGTAAGTATGACCTGCCCAGAACATCACACGACGCTTTTATACGAGCGTGCGCGCACGGACCATCTCCCATTTGCACAGCTTTGTTGCAATGATTTATGGTGTGCGGGCCGGTGTCCCGGGTGTGTGCCGTCTCTTCTCGACGTCCTAAATCCACGAAGGTGCCCCGAGCTCAACTTTCCCCACGTTGAGACCGGCCCATTAATATTTTGCGTCGGTTTAGACTTGCATATCCATAAGTTCATGATCAATTATCGCCCCGCCGCCAACTGCGTTCGACACTATAGCACTAACAGGTAAAAAGAAACCGAAGCACGCTACGTCCCGCAACTCTAGATCTCGCATTCCTCTAATGCGTTCTTAGTGAATCAATTGCATTCAAAGTAAAGGGGCTACTAGGGCCTCGATGTGATTCATATCACCGAGCATTGAAGCAACTGAGCAAGGTACGCGATTTAGTGTGCACGATCGACAGTTTCTCGCAGCCGCGGAATCCTCAGACCCTTGTTACACACATACCCATATCCATCCTATTCCTCCATCGATCCGCACCCTCCAAAATCACGCCATGCTATGTTACGTTACCACCCAGCTGTAAACGGTCAGCCAAAACTTTTCCGCTCAATTCGCAGGAAATCTTTAGTCGTCGTCCGCTATTCTCTCGACGTTGCTCGCAACAGCGCCTGAACTTGTGACCCCGACCGATCTCGTATACCGTCGACAACATCCGGCCGTTCGATGTCCCTGGGTACGCTGTATTTTCACAGCCCAGAATGTGTGTGTGTGTGGCTAAATTAGTGTGTGTAATGCGGGCGCCGGCCCCGTCACCTTTGTGGGCCTCATCTACCTGCTGATTTTATCGGTGAGTCTCATCCCACTGTACAAATTCTTTGACCTGATTCAGAACGCGAGGTTACAGTTTTTATCGTCGTGCGTCCCTGTGCTTGCTGGTCGATTGCACCTCACGTTTTCGTTCTTGGTATGCAGATACTATCTGCTGGCGCGTGCCTGACATCGGCTCTCGAGCAGCGCCTGACTTTGGGCCCATCGGTCCGTACCCGAACCAGCACCTCGCTTGCAGCGCACTTCTTCGTTTCGGTACGCAACATCGACACACTTGTTCTGCTCCGCCGTGTGACACCCCGCCGCATCCAAGTCTCCAGCCCTTCTACACCCTTCTGAGCCGCGCATTTCAGCCGCCATTTAATCGAGTGCGTTTCCTGGTCAAATTTACAACCTTGGCGATCTAGATTTAGCAGCGACGGTCTCGTCGTGTTCTGGACGGTGAACTGGATGGGCATGCTCGCCTGGTGTGCCTGTCCCTCCCTGCACCTATGCTGCACTTTCTCATAATATTGCATTCCCAACTTCCAGCGTCCTGGCCCTCGACATGATAATACTGCTCGCATTGGACTTCGTCGGCTTCTGCCTCGTCCTCTGGATCATCTCCAAAGCGTCCGTGTAGGTGTTCCCGCTGCAAATCCTCCGGCGTGTCTACGCGTACGGGTACACGTTCGTTCTACGATATGCTGCGTCCCCAATGCATGCTGAGCGACAACATATTGCAGCGGGCCTGAACTTCGGTGTGCTCATTGCCTGGGTGGCGCTCTCTTGCGTCACGATTGTCGCTGCAAAACAAGGAAGAAAACTGAGGAAGAATGTCGTGGAAAGCAACCTCGGAGACGTCGTGGGCCGACGCGAAATTGAGTGGCTGTGAATCGTGACATGTTGTCGTCACTGTGACCGGAGTCTGTTCCACTCATCCAACTAGCAGGACTTGGACACTAGAGCCATGCTGGTCAAAAAAAATCTACTGACGAGTCAAAACTTTTCAATGAACCGAAGCCTCATGTTTTTGCTGGTCCTTATTGGGCCAATGGCATGCGGGCCGCGCGGCGCCGCGTTTGGACTCTTGGAACCTGGCGAATCTCTCCCTTCTGTGGTTGCAGAGGCCAATTTTCTGTTCTCGATCGATCCTGGATGCATTCTATAGACTATAGTAGCTGATGTTTGCGATACGTTCTGTGCGGATGTCACGCGCTTAAATCATGATATAGGAGACGCGTCTCGTGCGGCTGTTCCTCCCCGCCGGGGCCACCCCCGCCCCCGCCCCCTGGCTCGGACCCAATTCCTTTGATGTTTCTTCCCCCTGACCTTGCGAGACAACTTCAAATTTCGAGTTATGTTTTCGCCGGCGCCGCCGCGGTAACGACAGCAGACCCGGAGGCTTATCTTCGCCCTCATGGGTGTGCACCCGGGTGTTTATTTGGGACGTTTTGAACAACCTCTAGGACAATTATGCGCTTGCATTCAAGCACAAGTTCCGCCTGTCTCTACTGGCTTACTTCACGTCCAGGTAAACCTCCCGTTATACGCCGGAGGATCGCACTTGTTTCATGCTTCTGATCAGAATTGTATCCTTGGGATACGTTCTTGGATTCACGATTTTTTCTAGTGAGCCACACCATTATTCTCGCGAAGTAGCCAGCTGAGCACTGATCCCAGCATCCCGCGTCGGCGCCTGGAACGTGGCATACCATGTCTTCGACAGCCTCTTCCCATCTCGATCCGCTCCACGTCGCTCCTCTTTTTCTACCGGTTTCGCGCCGTATACGGGGGTAAATGCGCGATTACCATAATATTCAGATTCCTGTGGTTTGCTGCCTTCGCGTCGGCAGTGACCATCCCGTTTGGCGGGAGCGGCACACCGATCGGGCCCAACAGAAGCTGCATCATCGTCGAAATTGCGTCGTATGTCGGGGCCGCTGGGATCACCCTAGCCGTGCACGATACGACCGTCTTCCTGGTGATAGTATCGTATCGGCTTGTCTCGAATACTCATGTCGAGCACGCCAGCAGCCAGCAAGTCAAGGCGCTGCTCAGTGGCGCGCATCTTCTGGCATTCTCCAGGGCGGGCAGATGTACTACATGTGAGTTGCGAGCCAACATCAGCGGGCAGCGCTGAATTTTCTCCCTCGGCAGGATCACCGTCATCGGCAACATCCATGATCTACATTCCCGGTATCACGCCCGTCTACCACGGCATGTTCGCGATCCCCAACATCACGCTGACGAGCATCATGGCGTGCCGCGTCTACTGCAACGCAAAACTCGGCTCCACGCCCGACTCGAGCAACATCAGTCTGAGCTTCCTGGTAGACGGGCCGGTGTTCGCAAGCGACCACCACACCATTCCCCTGGGCGTGCGCTTTTCGATGCAACGGAGCGGACACGGCGACGACACGGCGGGACGGGACGCGCCGCGGGAGCACAAGGGCGGTGTTTTAATGACGAAAACGACGACTGTCGTTGATGACCATGACTCTAGCTTCTCCTCTGGGAGACATCGTGAGACTGTTTAACTCTTGCCAATGAGGTGTTGGATAATATTAATTAAATCTTGTACTTCCTGGTGAAGACTCTGTATTGTTACAGTCTGAGTGTATATATGCTATTCGGAGCTGCTGTCTGTGAACCGCCGAGTGTGTTCTTTCTGGAGAGCGGAACTTGAAGGGGGACAACGCGTCGCGGGCCAATTCAGTCACATGTGCGTGGATATCAAAGCGGGCCGACTCGCGTTGTACAATGTTGTTGCCGTACAGCTTGCAAGGTTCTTCAACGTTCACTTCCACTGAACTCGTATTCCGTCTGGTGGAAGGCCCAGGCTAGAAAAGGCGCGTAAGGCGCAGACCGGGTCGATCTCGAATCCCAGGGAACCCGAAGCCTGCATCATGATTCACGTTTCTCTTGCTCGTATCGCGGCGTTAGCAAAGGTGGGGAGGCTTTTGTCAGATACATGCGCGGCATATCTATTTGCATGTCCCGTGGCTTGGGCAAGTGTAGGAACGGCTCGGTGGCGGAAGGTCCGCATCTGCGGATAGTTCGTGGTGATCAAGTTCTAGCAGAGGATGCTCGTTCGATTCGAGCCCGAGCCACTATCGGGCAAACCAGAATGATTTTTTCTCCGCTGAGTTGATTTTCCAGTTTGTCTCGTTCTCAAGTACACTGAATCGGGCTAGGACTGAGACAGGATTATTGAAGGCTCGGTAGCGGATGGCCCGTATCTGCACCCATCTCGCCATGATTATGTCCTGTTGCTCGTTTGATTCGAGCCCGAGCCATTACTGAGGTAAGTTGCATTTTTATCCGTTCCACGTGCTGATCAGGTTTTTGAGTCAGAAACACTAGGTGGGACGCGAGCTCGGGCGATCTACTTCTACTCATCGCTACTTGAATCCTTCCACGTTCCCGTACCAGCTGCGGGCAATTCTCTCATGGAAGTGGCTGCAGAGGTGGGTATAGGAAAGGCTCGGTGGCGGAGGGTCCGCGTCTGCATTAATTCGCACCACAGTCACGATGTTTGCAGCAGAAGACGCTCGTTCGAATCGAGCCCGAGCCATACACTCGAGGAGGGTAGGTTTTTTGTCCTCTGAGTTCATCTTCAATTTATTAACAATTTTAAAAGTGTGAGATTCATCTACGCACTCGTATTTGTGTCCGGAACCCAAGTTTCAATTCGTCTCCTGACACGATGCCCTCGAATTACAATGGGATCTGCGTTCCGTGATTTTCGCCGTTTGTGTGGCAGAAGATGTTCGATTCATACGCGGGTTTTTTTCTCTATTCAGGTACGCGGTAGTTTTCACTCCTATGGTTGACAAAAAGGTAGGAACGGCTTGGTGGCGGAAGGTCCGCATCTGCGAATGATCATAGTTGGGATGCAAGTTCCGCAGAAGACGCTCGTTCGAATCGGGCCCGAGCCATATGTGTCTAGGCACTTCTTTTTCTTTCTCAGGTACGCATCGTTTTTACACCTGTATGCTGGTTGAGAGAAAGGTAGAAGGTATGCATCCCACGATTATGATTGACTGTATAGTAGAAGACGCTCGTTGGAATCGAGCCCGAGCCATATCTGCAGTCGTCTTTTGCTTCAGATGAGTCTTTATGTTTCCACTCGTATTCTGGCTACTGTAGAAGAACGAACGGCTCGTCGCGGAAGATCCGCGTCTGCGAACAATTGTGGTGATCAATCCTAGCAGAGGATGCTCGTTCAACTCCAGCCCGCGCCATGCTGTATGCGTGCCTTTCTCTCTTATATTCCGGGTACCCTGTCGTTCTTCTACTCGAGCTCGATGTTGAAGAACGAAAGGCTCGGTGGCGGAAGGTCCGCGTCTGCATCAATTTAAGCTAGTATCGTGCTCTTTGTGGCAGAAACCCTTGTTCGATTCGGGCCGAGCTATGTACACTCCACTCCGCGGTTTTTCCCTCCGGTCCGCCGTTTTTCTTCTGACTAATAAGTATGCGGGTTAATGCAATTTTAGGGCAGGGTCGACTTGGCGTCCATGCGATGTCCTGGTTCGATCCAAGTTTGTCCTGATTTTTTTCTTGTTGGTCTTATCTCGTGAACCTTGTAAGATATCACTCTTGGCTGTTAGGCCTTAGGTTACAAGCTCATGAGGAGCTCTACTGTATTTATACTAAAATCCTAGTATTCCTGTATGTTCCGGCGGATTCCATCGAGTTCCATATCAGTCAGCATCCTCGGGCATTGCTTCGGGCTTGTGCTGGATTGCTAATCTCAACATTTCTTCAGTGCCCTGAAGTGGGCTGACTTGGTATTCTGACCCGTACACATATGGAACGGCTCGGTGGCGGAGAGTCAGCGTCTGCTATACCCGTTGAGTGGTTGCTTTCTCTCAAAGCAGACGAAGATCAGTTCGTTCGATTCGAGACCATCCGATATACTGATCGAGATCCTTTTTAATGCGGGCGCGTCGTGTTTTCTGTATTCAGCTGAATACATAGAAGGGAGGGATGAGTCGGCGGCAGATTTGTCCATGTCTGCGCAATTTGGCGTCATTTGCTCAGTTGAACACGTGGAAATTTGCTGATCACAAGCCAGAGTTTTTTTTCCCCCTCTCTAGCCTGTGTTTATCTTTTCATGCACTCTCTCTCTATATCGCCCCCTCCTTGCAAATTGTCGTAGTAGCTAGCAACAATGTACCTGATCTCGCATGAAACCAATTAGCCGAAACGCGTTTGACCAGCTGGCGTCTCGTGACCGTCCCCCTAGATCTCTTTCTATCTCTGTCCACCACCACATCCACAACAATGGCCACGCACTGAGCGCTGAGCCCTTCTTCCCATTTCGTCCTCACCCTCCTCCCCGTCTTCCTATAAAACCCCTTCACTCTTCTCGTCTTTCACTTTCCTCTGAATCAACAAACACCCCCCCCCATGTCCATGCCCCGCCGATGCTCGACCACTACTACACCCCGCGCGACCCCGTCCCCCTCCCTCTCAGCCTCAGCCCCGCCGGCGCCGACGCGGTGATGGGCAGCAACATCAGCAACAGCGGCGCGGCACTCAGCGACACCGTGCTGGGCTCGGCGCTCAGCGACACGGTGTCGGTGTTCGCCCGCGTTCCGCGCACGGCGCCGCAGCTCGTCGACCTCGTGTTCGACTGCGACGACGACGACGACGACGACAGCGATAGCGGCAGCGACGACGGGTGCGTGTGCGGTCTGCTTCTTCTGCTTTTTTCTGTTATCTTTTCCGTGCCATCGCCGACTGCGGTGCATGCCACCCACCTTACTACGCCCTCCTTTTCTCTCTCTACAACATAAAAACATAACTAACCACCCACCTCAGGTACGTCTCCGTCATCCTGCGTGCCCTCGTGCGCCCCGCGCCCCCGCCGCCGGGGCCGCGCAGGATCGCCGGCGCGCGGCGCGTCGCGCGCGCCGTGACCGCCCCTTTCCCGCAGGTGCCGGTTCAGGGCTTTCCTGAGGCAGCCGCGGGCGCCCCTCTGGCATCGCCCTTCCCCCAGGTAGCCACCGGGGTCGCCGAGGCAGCCCCGCAGCTCGGTTGGGCGGCGCGTGACTCATTGCCGACCTGGACCCCCACGCAGCCTGCGACGTCGACTTGGGGCCCGACCTGGACCCCCGCCCCACCCGCGGCCGCGTCCCCCCGCGAGGAGCTCTTCCAGAGCATCACCGCGACGCCGGGGCTGCGCGGGTCGAGCTTCGAGGTGCGTCTCCTTTTCCATTCCATCCTCCATTCTCTTCCGCTGCTGATTCTTTCGTTTCTCCTCCCTTCCCTCCCCCCCTTGATTCATCATCTGGCGCCCACTTCCTCCCATCCCATCTCGCTGCTGCAACCTGATATCGACGATAACCGACGCACGCGACACAGGAGCTCCGCCTCGAGACGTACCGCCAGTCCCTCATCGCGACGGGCTCCGCGCGCCCGCCCGACGCACGGTTTGGCGCGGGGATCCCGCCCGCCTTCCGCCCGCATACGCACGTTGCTCCGCGTGGTAATATTAACAGCACGGACGCGGATGTCGGGATGGAGGACGACGTGCACATGTCCGACGCGTAGCTGCGCCTTGGCTTCTGATGAGTTCATTTTTATGCGCTGTGATTTTTGCGTTATGCATGCCCAGCTATGTGTACCAACCACCTTGCGTGTTGTGTTGTAGTAGTCGAGTTTGTTGTACTTGGCCGTGTCGTGTTGCATGTAGCGCTAACCTCCCCACTTAGTTACTTATCTACATTATTGCCTTGTTTATGCATTTTTTTTTGGCTGGTTTCTGAGTTTCTGAGTTCTGTGACCTCTGCAACTGGTAACATTCCCTGTCTCGCAATGCTGGTATTATAGTACACTGTATCCTCTTCTACTCATCTACACCTACTTTTGGTCGTATGCATGGGTTCCATTCTGGACCCCTCGCGTACCCGCGCACGCACTCGTCCCTTTTTAGCACGCATCGCGACTCGTCGCGGGCGCCCCCTGCGGATGAAGGAACGACGTCCCGCCATCTGTCCGCCAAGTCTAGGGTCGAGGCATCTCCCCGCGGGGAGGCCTGGCACCGCGCTCACGGCTTGTCGTCCTGCTCCAGCGGCCCAGCGTCGGGTGTTTCATCCGTATCGACGCGCACGGGGCCCGGGATGGCGTCGCTCTCAACATCAACGGTGTTGGGTGACTCCTGTTCGTGAGACGCGGCCGCCTCCTGCGCCGCGTCATCGGTGCGTCGTCCTCCGCCTGCTCTCCGAGCAAGCGCTGCGGCGGGCTCCCGTCCTCCCCCTCCATCCAAACCAGCCGCCTCAACTCCTCCTGCGTCCTTCTATCCCTCTCCTCCTCCCTCTGCCTCTCCCGCTCCTCCCGCCGCTGCATGCGCCGCAGCCGCTCCCTTACGACGCTCAGGCTCTCCCGCCCCCACGTCCCCTCCGCCCGCTCGCGCGCCTTCTCCCGCTCCTGCGCGCGCGCCTCCCGCGCGCGCTCATGCGCCATGCGTACCGCCCACCCCTCCCGCACGCCCGCCGCGCCCGCCTCCCCGCGCGCCGCGAACCGCACGGCCGCGCCGCGGTACGCGGGACCTGACGCCCACCAGCCGCCGCGCGCGCGCCGCGCAGTGCGTGTCCGCGAACGCCACGTGGCGTGCAGCTCCTCCCCCAGCGCCGCCCCGTCGCCCGCCCCGTCGTCTGCGTCTGTGTTCGGAGTCCGCAGCTGCGCGAGCGGCGGCAGCGCGAAGACCCACACGCCCTCGAGCGCGCCGAACGCGCCAAAGTCCGCGCGCACCCGGGCCTCCGCGCGCACGATGCGCAGCTCGCGCTCCATCTCGCGCTCGCGCTGCAGGGCGAGCGCCTCCGCGTGCTGCCGCGCGCGCTCGGCCTCCGCCTCGTCGTGGGGCGGCGCGGGCGCCTCGGCGAACAGCTCGACGACGTGCGCGGTCTCTGGGGACGGCGGCCAGGGAGACGCGTCGCTGGGCGGGGCGGGGCTTGCGGGGGGGGAGTGGACGCCGAGACCGGGGCCGCCGCGCCGCGCCCCGAGCTCCGCGACGTCTGGCACGCGCAGCACGAGCACGCGCCCCGCGCCCGCCGTGCGCAGCGCCGCGAGGCGCGCGGGGGTGTACGCCGGGTGGCCGCCACGA